GAGGAGTCGCCGTTATCGTCGTCGTCGTCCTCGTCTTCGTCGTCATCTTCCTCCTCTTCCTCCTCCTCGTCGTCATCCTCTGATTCCTGCGGGGTGGGAGGGGGTGGGTCGTGGGTGGGTACCCCAGGACACCAGCACCACCCCATCCTCGGCCATCAGCCTTTGGGTTCCTCCACCCTCCAAAGCAGCATCAGGTGGCTGCTGCCCGGGAGTCGTTTATGTTACAAACGGCCCCAAAAAGGCTCCTGGGGTGCACTCAAGGGGATGTCACAGAATGCAGGGGGGACAAAACCAGACCTGGGTGGGTTCTGAGCATAGATTTGGGGAGATCTGAGCACAGATCTGGTTTACTTTCTCAAGGATAGGCAGCAGAGAGCACCAGGGAGGCCTGGAAGAGGAGGTCTGGGTGCCATGGGGACGCCCTCCCCAGGGAGGAGGGTGCTGGGTGTCCCCAGTGCAGAGCACAGCCCCACAGCCGTCGGGCACTCACCGACTTGGACTGCATCGTTGGCTTCATCTTGGGGTTGGGACCCCGGATCTTTCCTATGCTCTTGCGTTTCTGTGGGGTTGGAACAAAGCAAAACCATTCAGAGCTGGAGGGGCTCGAGCTCGGCTCCTTCCCAGCACCCAGCATGGAGAAAACCCCACCGCCCAGCTGCAGGGGGTGGGGGGAATGAAGCCCCTTCGAGGGGCTCTCCTGAGCTTGGTTCATCTCCTGCCCACCCTAATCACCCCCAAGCTCCCCCCAACCCTCCCCAGGGTGCTGGGTGGATACTCACGTTGGAAGTGTGTTCCTTGTAGGCAGCTCGTTCCTGGGGTGAGAGGCTCTGTGGAGACAGGGGAGATGGTCAGGGTGGAAGGACTCCCACACTGGGCACCCCTTCCCCACATATATATATTTTTAAGGCCCTTTAAAGTTACAAAAAGCCCAAAAAAAAGGGTCTGGAGACGGCGGTTGACGGATGAAGGTTGTGAGCAAGACCAACGGACCCCAACCGACCCCGGAGCCTCCTCGGCGCTCACCTTGAGCCACATCTCGAGGTGCACCTTGTACTGTTTCTGCTGCTCCTCTGCCAGCTTTTTGTAGTGGTCCTTCTGGCCCTGGGAGATGCGCTGCCAGCGGCTGGCAATCCTCCCCATCCGCTCCTTCAGCGGGGGGGGGTGTTCAGCGGGAGGTGTTTCAGCTCCCCGTTGGACAGCAGCTCCTGAGAGAACTTCTGGTAACCGTTCCTGCAGGGGAGGGGAGCGCAGAGACCCCGTCAGACGGCGCCCACGAGGGACACAGAGGTGTCCACGTGCAGCCTGCACCAGCCCCACCACGCTCCAGCCCACCCTGCCTCCGCCCCAGGCTCTCCTGCACCGGCCAGACCCGACTTTTCACACCCCAGGGACTCACATCGGGGGTTTCTTCGGCTCTCCCTGGAACTTCATTTTCTTGGCGGAGTTGGTGGAGCACGGAGGAGCCCGCATCTCGCTCAGCTCCCTCTGAGCCAGAGGAGAAAGAGGGGTCAGGGTGACGGGGGCCACCCCGACAGCAGGGCCACGGCGAGGGGCAGGAAGGAGCTGGGACCCACCTCGTATCGCTTCTGATCCTCTGCTGCTTTCTTGATCCACATCAGCTTCTCCTTCTTCTCCATGTTGTTCCAGGTGGCCTCCATGGCCTTCAGCGCCTTTCCCCGGTCGTTCTGGGGCACAAACCACCACATCAGATGTGCTCAAGATGCCCCGCCAGGGACCACAGGGCACCCGCTCCCCTGCTGTGACCCATGTCCTCCCCATGGCTCCCAGCCCCAAGCTGCT